CTCCAGGTATGCAACTGCCAGATAATTCATGGCATCCAGGGTTGCTGCATGGTTTTCACCTAGAATGTTCTTATGCTTCTCAATTGCCTGCACTAGAACCTCCTCTGCCTTTTTATAATTTGCTGCATGTAGAAAAAGTTTCCCATATTTCACCCCGAAATCAGTCTCGGCTTCATTGTGTAATAGGCCATCAATGTGTGGGAGCAATGCTAAACTAGCTAGCTGCACATCTTCATCTGATATTTCATCAATGGACATTCCCATGATAGCAATCATACAAGACTGATATATCTCCTCAGTAGTAAGTGTATTGCGACTCCAGGTGTGCACGAGCGGATGGATTGAAAAGATATTTCTTGCCACATCCAAATTGATTAAAGAATATGCTTGGAGTTCATTAGTCAGATTACAGAAGAGGAGAGAATTCCAAGTATTGTCAGACCCCAAAAATTGGGAGAGAAATTCTCAGGGCATCGTTAAATCCTTGAGGCTTGGACCAGACAATGGAAATCGGTACCGAGATGCATTGCTGAAGATTGCTTCAGAGATTCCACCATGGTGAAGAAATGAGCACAGCTGCAATAGCATAGCAGCTGGTGGGCTGAGCTGGTCAAAGCTAATCTGCCATGTTGTATAAACTGTCCAGGCATAATGATCATGAGACTGAGCAGGTTTTTCCCTCAGGAGCTGCTCTTTATTCTTTTTACAAAGAGTTAGGTAACTATTCAGAGAGCCAGACTTCAGGATAAATGCACCAGCTTGCACAATTGCAAGGGGCAAATACCACAATGCCTGGCAAAACAAGTTGAAAAGGGAGACTGGAATAATATCTTACTAACCTTGACAATTTCAGTGGCAGCATCTTTGTTTTGCGGGGTGATATCTTGTGCAGCACTTCGAAGTAATAGCTCTACAGCATCTACCTCCTCCATATCGGAAACATGGGAATGTGAGCCATAACCTCGGAGTTGAGGGTTCCGTGAGGTGATGAGGATGTTGCCATGCTTGCAGTGAGGAAAGAAATTGTGCAGATTGATTTTGGGGTCATCTGCATTGTCGAAGAACAACAGCCAGTCATTTTGTTTGCTGCAAAACCAGTCCAGTGCATCTTGTGCAGTGTCCCCAATCTTTTTTGTCACAGCAATGCTCTTGAGGCCGCTATCAATTGTATCGGGAGTGCTCGTATCAATTAGAAAGATATCAGAAAACCTAGGAACATTTGAGTCAGCCCTAAATGTTGAATGACGGATGAAACTCACTTGGATGCTGATTCATCAATGAATTTGAGAGCAATCTGGGTCTTTCCTGAACCACCGAGTCCATAAAGCACATATATGTGCTGTTTCCCCAAATCCTCGGTAAAACACTGGTGCATTTTAGCAAGGATGGCTTGTCTGCCATGGAATATTCGGGATGGTGGCGGGCAATTGTTGATACTTCGGGCTGTTTGGATGACAGAAAGATCTGGAAAGATATTTGAGACTTCAGCGCTTCAATAGACATAATAAAGATACTTGGGGCGATTGTCGCGAGTGTTGCATGGATCTTATGCACTTGAAAATTTGTATCAATGGCTGCGACCATCTGAACAGGCATTAGAAACATATTTTCTTTGGATTGTGTGAGTGTACCTTGAGATTTGAGCACAGTGTTTGAATCTTCTTTTGATATTCCCCAATTTTATCAGTGATACTGCTTGACTTGACCATTTCCTTGAGATGACTATAGAAGCCTCGGGGAGCATCTTGCCATTTCCTTATTTCATCCACAATTTTTTGCAAAGTACTAGAGCGCATGAAATCAATACAGCAGCTCTCGGACAAATTGTGTTTTTACCCTTCAAGCTCCTCGCAGACAGTCTTCAACTTCTCAGCAGCCATAGGCCCATGAGATGATATCTGGTCTCGAACAATCTTCATGATTTCCATGGAATTCTCACACAGCTCTTTCAGGTCGTCCCGATTCTTCTTTACTTTCTGCAGGAACTGACAATTAGACCTACAATTTATGAGACTCAGAAGATACTGCACCTGAGCAGTCTCCAGCAAGATTACAATTACACCAAATGCCCCTTTCACATAGGGAAATGGGACACACTCTGCCCCTGCGGTAATTGTCTTCGCTGCCAGGAGGGCCGGTCCGAGCCAGTCTGCCTTGGAGTTGGGTTTAAATGACCGGAATGGTGTAGCCGTGGGCTTGCGGGTGGAACTGGTGGGGGATATGCTGCTAGTGGCCATGGTGGGGGAAGCTAATGCACCAATTCCGAGAACAGCGCCCCGAGGCTTCCACAGCAGTGATCAGGGCAAGAAGCAGGATAAATCTATAGTCTGCCGATGCCATTCGGAACGAGCCGGGCTGTCACCACTTGCTGCAAATGTACCGACATTTGTGCGGCGGCCATTCCAGACTGATGCCTGGTTAGCGATACTTTGCTTTGAGGTAGCTGAATTTTTAAATCTAACCAGTTCTCGATTGGTTGATATAATATACAGTATAGTATTAAGCCGTAGTGAATCCAAAAATAAGAAGCAGGATAAGTAGACCGGTGGTGTCTACGTTCCGAGATGTACCCACTAGTCAGACATGTGGTGACACTTGTGGGAAGCGCAGTCGACCAATGCATCGATGAAGGGCAAAGAAATGTGTCGAGCAATTCGTTTCGAATCCTTATAAACCTCAGCCTCTTCTTCTTGGGGTCGACTGTTTACCTCAAATTTAATGGAGTTCTAAGGCAACATGGTGTAGTGTAGCATTTCTGTCGCAGAAACAGCTACTAGTATGTGATAGAAGCGAAGCCGGCGCGCGGTGTGCTGATGTACAGGATTAGAAGAGCAGGACAACTTGTAGGCTCAATGTCCCCCCTCGGAACATGCTCGGGTATATGACGACGTGTAGTGTCTCGGAGTCCGGCGGAGCGAGGAGGGCCAGAGGCTAATGGTCCTGGCAGCGTGACCGAGGTCAAGACAGATACTAGTATGAAAGGATGGGTCCTGGGGTCAACCCACCTGACCAGCCCAGCGCAAAATCGGCGCATTTTTGGGATCTTTTCGTTTTTAGTTTGGCAGGATGCTTGATGATAAGGAGATCTGCCGATCATATAACAGCTAAACGTGCGCATGCGCCCCATGGGAGTCGGAGCGAGTAAGAATAGGAACCATCGATGCAAGCTGTCTTCGGCAAATGTCTATCATCCGCCCTGTTACTGTTGAGCGGCCGGTCGCTCAAAGGCCGAGAGGTAGTCGTCGCGCGCGCGAGCTCCGTCTAGACTCTGGGATTTATTTATGGAAATTTTCATAGAAGACTAGGAGAGTAAGTCTCGCCGCTGCTTCGGTTTAAATTACGAGTGGATCCACCCTTGCGAGACTTGGGAGTACCTGCTCGATATCCGGGGCACTTCCCGGATGATTATGCCGTCATAAATGGAGATGTAGAGAGATGGAATGTTACGAGTACTTATGTAATTGTTTATGATCAATCGAAGATGAGGTTTTTGCGCACCTCTTCACATCATGCCCCCGTTTATTCGTGTAAAGAAATTAGGGGCTGTGCTAATGAATCTAGCGGCTGTGTTGAAGGGAACGTAGTGGTTGTGCTTAAAAAGACTTCAACTTTTGTGACGATTTAGTGGCAGTGTTTGCTCGTGTAATCAGCCCACCTTTAGCGTGAGTTCGACCCTGTCCACCGTCACCCTTTTAACTCCGTGGCAGGAACGTAATAACGGAATGTGCCTTCTCTTCTGGTCCCATACCTGACTCGCAATATCCCGACTATTAGACTTTGGGAAAAACTCATTGCAGTACATAAATTATGGCCACGGTGTACATGGTATCGGTTGAGGCAGAGATCAGACATGCACGGGCCGTACTACACTGGAGCTCATGTCCGCATCTGCCACTTCTCCTGTTATCCTCATGTTAGCCATCTGTTGATGAACATCGGCTACTTCTTCTTCATCACTGTCTAGTTCGACAAATGCTCGAGTCCTGACGAGCGACTCTTTAGGCCGTTCCTTCAACGCCGGTATATCTTTGGTAATCGACAAACCGCTCATGCGAGCTTGGAACGCGGCCTGGGGAATTTGCTCAGAAAAGGACTTATATTTAGCTCGGACGTACCTTGGACAGAGACGAGTCTAGGACCGTGAGTGTCCGAAGTATAAGCTTGCAGACATGTTTATCGGGGTCACCACCTCTCATGGCCTGCTTGAAGGCAACAATAGCGAACCCCATCTCAACCACGTCCCCGCTACAGAACGTTGCTGGGTCTTTCTTCATGTACCTGCAATACTTGTTAGTCGCGCAGAAAATCAGTGAGGGAGCTCAGATGATATGGGAGGAAAGGAGAAGACATGGTTTTGGAAACACAGCACTGGACGCTATTGATCAATGCCCACTCCGACATTTGCTCCGTATGTGCCAAGCTGACAGGTACCGACATACCGCTTCCGGACGGTCTCATGACTCCCTAAAACAGTTACATTTGACCTTGCAAGATACTCCTGACTGTCACGCATATGAAAAATAAGCTGCACAGGGATACGTGCATTGTCACTCTTGCGCTTGATAAGCGTTGTGAGCCATCACATTGTGATAGCTCCCAATGTGACCTCAAAACACCGAACTCCGAGAACAACGCCTTAAGCCATCAACGTAAAAATGATATCCGGACCCAACTAGTGGCTTGACGGAGAATCAAACTCTGAACCTTCCATCAACCGATATGTGAATGCTATAGGTACACGGGATGTGTTACCATTACGCCAACAAGCCATTCAAGAATCGAACTCAAGACCACCAAGGACCGACTCCGAGTTAAAAATGTTATCCAGACCCAATCCAAGGCTTGATGAAGAATCGAACTCCGGACTTTCCGTCAACCGATATATAAATACAGCAATGACACGGAGCACGTTACCATTACGCCAACAAGCCATTCGAGACTCGAACTCGATGACCACCAAGGACCAACTCACGAGTTAAAAATCATATCCCGACCCAACATGGCTGGATGGAGAATCGAACTCCGGACTTTCCGTTAAACAAATATGGGAACGTTAGGTACACGGAGCGCGTTACCATTACGCCACCAAGTCATGACCGGACTACCAAAGGGAAAAATAATGGTTATCATCAAAGGCTTGACAAAGAATCGAACTTCGGACCTTCTGTGATATGCGAATATTACATATCGCTATGGAGCGCGTTACCACTACGCCAACAAGCCATACGAGCGGCCGAGACGATCACTGCAAAAAGAAGGGTTTCCGTCAAACGGCTTGATGGAGAATCAAACTCCGGACTTTCCGTCAATCAATATAAAAATGTGCATTATTACGGAGTGCATTACCATTACGCCACCAAGCCGTAGAAATCGAATGACCAGCCAAGACGATCACTATAAAAAGAAGGGTTTCCGTCGGAATGGCTCGACAGAGAATCAAACTCCGGACTTTCCGTCAATCAATATAAAATGTATTAGATCATCACAGAGTGCGTTACCATTACGCCACTGAGCCATAGGAATCGAACGACCAGCCAAAACTATTGCCATGAAAAAGAAGGGTTTTCTTCATAATGGCTCAGCAGAGAATCAAACTCCGAACTCTCCGTAAAGCATACCGCGAACTACATAGGAATGCGGAGTGCGATACCATTACACCACTGAACCGTTCAAAAACGCGCCCTACCTTCTTACTCAACGGACAAAAAGAACGTAAGGCCCGTCGGAGATTCGAACTCCGGTCCCTCCATTATTTCAGTTTCTCGCCAGCTACGCGAACAGAGTGTGTTACCACTACGCCACCGGACCATGTGTGTGAGCGATACGAAGGTCCGGTAAGAGGCGCACAAAAAAGGAATGGAAAAGAGGGATGGCTCGACGGAGGGTTGAACTCTGGACTTCCTGCAAAAGACGCGCTTGTGCAAGAACCATGGCAGGATGTGTTACAGTTACGCCATCGAGTCGTGAATACCAAACGGCCCAAAAGGATGGAACGAGAACTCCGGGTAATCAAAAAAGGTGGGTAGCATAGGAAAGGGCTCGATGGAGAATCGAACTCCAGACTCTCCGTAAGTCAAACACTGGGGTGAAAGGATACGGAGTGCGTTTCCACTACACTATTGAGCCGTCGCAAGCGGAAGCCGGATAGGAGGAGAGTTAGGACCAGACATGGAGTGTCCGAGACTAGGGCCAATAAGTCCGGGTTGCGGAATCGGTGCCTGACTGAAGATGGTGTGGGTATGGGTTCACGGAGTTCGGGAATGAGTCACAAGCGAACTCCGGGGCGGAGGAGCGTGCGAGCGAGCAGGTATGGGACACAAAGGAACAACTCCAGCACAGCCTTGGGCTGGGGTATAAATACTACAGCTAGTCTACCAAAATATCATCTCAGTTTCGGCCCACATCCTCACCTTCTAAGCCTTAGCCAGCTTAGGAGTAGCTAAAACCCGCCCCGAACATCACCTAGAGGTCACCTGGAGTCGAGTTACACAGTAAATCGACCTCGGCACTCCCTCGCCGCCGTCAGACAGCGAACGGAGTTTCATTTGGCATAAGTTCAGCGCCAAATATCAAACCATTTATTCCTCCCCTACGCAAGTAGGGCAGTGAAATCTCTCAAACAGCACAACGAGGTCCTCAGAGTTCGTGTGTAGCTGCTAGCTAAGGAAGTTGGCTGTGCAGAGCCCGCAGGAAGTCGCCTTCAGCAAGTGAACGGGTGAGAAGTAGAGAGAGGAAACTCCGTAGAGGCACAAAGAGGGGTAAAAGGAGGAGAAATTGCAGGAACGTTACCGCGAACACATAATTCCCCCGGTCTTACGATCTACGACTCAAAGATACTTCGGACGACTGTGGTTCGTGGTCCAGGAAGCCCCTAAATCCATATTTCACCTCGGACTTGATGAATTGGACCCCGCATTGCCTTCCGAAGCTCCCCCTCCGAGGAAGTGTAGAACAGATTCAATCTCCGTTAACCCGAGAAGGCTAACTAGGCATCGGAGTTCGCTCGGTCCACCCTAGCTAGCAGGATTTTGAATGGATATCCCCACCAATATTATTTAAACCTCCCTACGTACTTGTCTACCATAACAGAACAAATTCCCCCTAGAGGACGAGCAATTAAACATAGCCCGGATCTCCCCACCATCTGGCAGTTTAAAGCACTGCAGTCCACATCACAGCGGGCCCATGAGATGACAACTGGCCTTGAATAATCTTCATGATTTCCATTGAATTTTCACACAGCTCCTTCAAGTCATCCCGATTCTTCTTTGCTTTCTGGAGGAACCGATGGTTAGATATACCATTTCTGAGAACCAGCAAATACTGCACCTCAACTGTCTCCAGCAAGATTATGATCACACCAAATGCCCCTTTCACATAGGGAAATGGAACCCCATCTACCGCTGCACTAAGAGTCTTTGCTGTTAGGAGTGAGGGCCCAAGCCAATCTGACTTGGCATTGGGTTTGAATGTCCGGACTGATAATGCGGTGGGCTTGCGATAGGGACTGGTGGGGGGTGTGTTGCTGGTGGCCATGGTGTGGGAAAGCAAGGCGACGATTCCCAGGAGAGGCACCCGAGGCTTCGACAGTTGTGAATACCAGCCCAAGAAGCAGGATAAATGTGTACCGCCGCGATGCCGGGTGTCCACTCGGCAGGTCAGTACTGACAACTGTGGGAACCGCGATCCGTCTGTTGAACAATTCAAAAACAAATGTGGCGACTATTCCAAACGAATAACTGGCTAACGATATCTTGCTTTGATGTGGTTGAATTTCGAAATCTAACCAAATCTCAATTTGTTTGAAGATATGGTGTAGTATTAAGCCGGGGTAGAATCTCGAAACCAGAGGCTGGAGCCCGAGACGCAGGCTCTGCTGTGAATTTCAACATAAGAAGCAAGATAATTAGACAGGTGATATCTACGTTCCGAGATGTATGGTCAGACATGTGGTGACACTTGTGGGAAGCGCATTCGACCAATGTCCCGATAAATCTGTCAAAAAAAATGACGAGCATTATTTTTCTAGTACTGATAAGCCTCAGCATCTTCATGGGGTTGAATTTTTTACCTGAAATTTGATGGAGTTCTCATGCAACATGGTGAAGTATTGTATCGCGGCAGCGGAAATAGCTATGGGATAGAAGCGAAAGACCGCGCGGTGCGCTGATGCACGGATACAAAAGTAAGCCGCGATATCTCCCTTGGGACACGCCGGGGTGTATGACGATGCGTAGTGTCTCGGACTGCGGCGAGGCGAGGAGGCCAATGGCCCTGGCAGCACGACCGCGCTCATCAAGGATATAAATCAATCCACCGGACCGGCGCAGAGCAAAATCGGTGCACATTTGGGGTCTTGTTTTGGTTTGGCAGGATGCTTGATGACAAGGAGATCTGCCGACTGTCGAACAGCAGTCGGCGCCTCAACGTGCAGCCCATGGGCGCGGTTACAGTGTTTGTGGGCATCAAATTCTTGTAAAGGGCTCAACCAAATTAGGCTGAGCCGAGGGGCCAATGGGATGAGCAATCATTCCTGTGCATCATCGAAGTTCGCACGGTGCGGCACGGAGGTTTTGGTGCAATATAGATTATTCTCCATGAATAAAATGGCTAGAAACATGCTATGAAGCCCAGAGTCTTTGCATATTCTCCCAAATCACTCTCAAATATGCTTATATTATTCTCCTCAAACTGATGTGGTTTTCGAATGAGGTTGTTTTCCTCTCAGAAATTCAACAATTTTTTCCTAGTTTCAAGGAATTCCCGACATCTCACTCAGTTCTGACATTCAAACTAGCTAGATCTATGTGACTAATTCATGCGGAATTAATGATAGAAAAAACGGCCCACAAATATGTCATATCAGCTGATCTGAGATTTTGGGCTGTTTTGGGAATGCATTTGGTCCAGCGAGGTGGAGGCCTTTTCAAACAACCTGATTTTTGGGTACAGATGACTTACATGGATTTGTAAAGATGTCATAGAGTGAGAAATGTATATAATCTATGATTTGATTTGATTCCTACTATTCTTCGCATTCTGACAGTGTTTCAAAAGTAAGTCCAAACCCCATAGACCGAATTATACAGAATTCTGACTCTATGAAACCTTTAAGAATGCATTTAAGTCCTCCCCTGCAAAAGAAAAAAAAGCAGGTGGTCTGCACAAGTTCTGACCAGCTTGGACCGGAGTCATCGGGAAAACAGCCCGACACCTTACATCACCAAAGATAGAATGTGTTTCCAAAGTTTCCTTCTATCACTAATTCCGCATGAATTAGTCTAGCAGATCGATTCTGCAAAACCGTTGAAAACTGACTGAGATATGAACAATTCTTTGGAAACCACCCAAACAGGAAAAAAATCAGGCTGCGCCTTCGGTACCGACATTAGCTATAATAACCTCTGCATAAGTTGGTCAGTTGAACTCTCAGCATATCCTCATCCCGGCTTCAAGCCATCTGGGTCAAATATGAGCTGGCAGCATTGAACAGTGTATTTGGTTCAAATAATCTTACTCCTCTATAGGACACCGCTGGCGGGTTGGAATATTGGTGAGATCATTTCACCGGCCCATGGGAGTCGGAGCGAGGAAGAATAGAGACGATCGATTGCATGCTGTCGTCGGCAAATGATATCTATCAGCCAACCTGTTACTGTGGAGCGGCCGGTCCCTCACAGGCCAAGACATCGTCGTCGTGCGCGTGGCGGCGTGAGTCCCGTCAAAACCCATACAAAAATTGCTTAAATGGAGGAAGGATGGGAGAGTAAGCCTCAGATTTACTCATGACTAAGGGCGCAGAGAGCCGCTCACTCGTGCGATCGAGGGAGGGCTTGGGAGCACCTAGCTCAGGATTCCAGCGCCTACCAGAGGATCGTGGATGGCGCATCCGTGCGCATCCCCCTCACGCGTCGCTCGAGACACGAGCGCGCGCAGGAGCGGTCGGTGAAACCACAGATCGCGTCAGCCATCAGCTACGCCTGCCACACGCAGCACACGGCAGAGGTCTATGCGCGAGTCGATCGACCCTACAAGTGTCTCCTCCGCCGACCGAATCTGGCGCTGTGCAGCACAGTCGGGGGTGCGCACGGC